AATTTCGCCTATTATTTTAATTTCCCAGCACTTCTGGATCATATATCTTTTGGGGAGGATAGTTGTGAACCCACAGGTTACTTTTTAAATGCAAAATGTCAAGGTCTTGCCAATATCTGGGAACTTTCCAAAACGGTCCCAGTTGTGTGATTGGTTCCCCCCACCCCCCATTGTGGGAATCATTGATTTAAAAAAAGAAAATGTCTTTCTAGAAAATGGGCTGCTGGAATCTACAGGGTGGCTGCATGTTAATGGAGTGCTAAATTGTAAAACCCATTTTCATGTCAAATAACTGTCATGTGGAAAGGAGAATTAATAGGAAGCAACTGACTTTTTTTAAGAACTTGTAGGAATAGAGCAGAGGGTGGGTCTCAAAGGTATATGTTTTTAAATTAAATTTTCCTCAGAATTATTAAATAAATGTTAGCTAGAAATGGATTCACATGGACAATGGAAAGTAATTGCTGAATTTATACATACCAATATTTTGGATCAAACCAAGAAGTGCACTGAATCATATTAATGAAAATCCTTTTTTTCCAGCTATTATGTTATTGAATTATGTATGCAACATTTGTGAATAATGTTTTCTCTTTCTGACATGTTAATGCTTACTTTATTTTTAATATGTTCATAAATACTAGCAGCAGTTAAGAAACTGGGAGGCAAAAGAGACTTCCAAAACATATTAGAACAAATAGTGAATACAGATCAGTGAGCAAATATATATATTTTATTGGAAACATGAGTTTTATCAATGGCATCAAAAATTCAATTAGTTAGTTCAAGATGTTATATTAAATGAACACCCATTTTGGGAGGCTGTAGCAAAGTATGTGCACATGGTGTCATACAGATCTGAATTTTGAATTCTGGCCCCACAGTACTATAACCTTGTGTAATTTATCTAACCTTCTAAGCATTGAGAACAGTGTCTGTCCCAGAGCAAGCATTCAATATGAGGTAGCCACTATTTTTTTTTTACACTTTTAAGATGATATATTATTTTTGATGTTCCTTACAGAGTCAAATACAAAACATGATAGAACAACTACTACTTGAATGCACACATTTTTTTTTTTTTTTTTTTTTTTTTTTTTTTT